GCTATGAAGCACTTCCCAGAGTAATGGTAATGCCAGGAGGAGCGTAGGTCTGCCATGTCCCAGGAAGAGCAGATGCAGAGCCGTACCTGGCCCTGGTGTGGCTTCTCCCCCTCCTTTCTGCTGCTTTGAACTGTGGAAAGTGGAGGGCCCTCTGGTAAAGCAGTGAGGGGACATTGAAATTTTCCTGTAAGCTTGAAGAGCGTACAAGCTTTTATGTGCTGCCTGTTGTGTGTGTCAGTACACGTGAACTCTGGAGGAAAATGGGTTAGAAAGTGTCAGAAGAACTGCAGAAAAAATCTTTTAGTACATGGGTCATCTCCTTGCTTAAGATTTTCTTCCTGTTTCCACAACAGGTCTAGAAATACTTTGTCAGGCCAATAGCTGTTGTAGCTACTCTGTAGATCTATGCTCAGGAAGGAGTCCTCCTTGGCAAGGTATGTCTCTTTTGGACTGAGGCACCATGCCAGATAGTGCTTGGAAGTGCCCACCAGGCAGAATGAAATGGCTAAAACCCAGCCCCGGTTGGAGAATCGTCTCCTCTGGGGAATCGGCCAGGAGGAAGAGCGAGCCTGAACTTTCAGAGCTGAGACTCTAAAGCTGTGCTGCCGCTCGGCACCGGTGGTCATGAGCTGCGTTTGCTTAAGGTAGATTTAGGAATACAGTTTTGTAATCCTCACGGTCTCATTTAAGTCATTTGGCTTCCATGTGTGTTGCCCAGTTTTACCAGGCAGGGTGGCACGTCCCTGCCTTGGGGGATGATTGGCGGGTAGGAAGCTGTGAAGGCTTGATCGCTGAAGCTCCCATCTGGCTGACCATCTCACTGCTGCAAAACGTTCAGAAAAGGCCCGATGAATAGAATTTGCATTTCTTTTGCAACGTCCCTCTTTGTCAGTTTGCATCTTGCAGGGGGCTTACATTGGTTTTGCCTGAACTAGCACAGCCCAACGTTTCCAACTTTGTTTCTTTACTTCTTTCTTTCTAGCGGATCGTTGTAAAGAAGTAGAGCAGATCAGAGAGCAGCATCCAAACAAAATCCCGGTAAGTTGTCATTCTTGCTCTTCTGCATTAGACTTTGTTCTCATGACTGCTGTGTGCTGCTGGATAGCCTCCACCAGCCTGTCGCCGAGGTCACAAAACTTTGCTCCCCAGAATCATCATGGGACACTCTCCATAAGCCTCCAGTGCCTTGTAAGTGCCAGCTGCTCAATAGTAGACCACATCTCAGCAGTGCAAAATACAGTCTTTCTCTTAAGCTTCATGTCTGCCCTAGAGGCAAGGAACTGGTTTGATCTCAAATCTACTTCCAAGCTAGTGCAGCAGGAGAAAACTCTGAAATGGCCTTTTTTTTCTGTTGTTGTTGCAGTAGCTACCTGACTTTTGCTGGATAACCTGGTAAGGATTTCTCTGCATCTGCCCAGATAAAGATGTGTGAGGTGATCTTCACTGTATTGAAATCAAAGAGACTCTGCTAGGATAATTCATACCACAGCCAAATGGTCACACCCGTTCTGTGCTTTCCCAGCACCTGTTGTTGACGTGCGTAGGTGAGACTCCATGAATTGCTTCCAGTTCTTCCTGCCCATGTCAGACCTAATGTGCTGTCTTGCTCTTTGGCCGTGAGTGTGCTTTGATATCCTAGCTGAGTATTTGCTTCTCTTCCTGAGAAGGTGGAGGACTTGGAGAAATAACGTGCTCAGGGCTCGCTCAAGTTAGTATTTGCAATGTCATAGCATGTATGAGCAAAAAATGGGCCATGTTCCTAGTTCAGCTCGCTCTCAGCGTTGGATGACCATCAGCCTTGTCTTAAAATTGCCTACAATTTCTCAGCACTTAGTCTTCAAGGCTTAATGTCTCCAACTGCTCTTGCACATACTAGTCCATTCTTGCCTCGCTCTTCTTTTGATTTTAGCACATCATCTTCTAGAAAAAAGAATTCTTCTCTTCCTTCTCTTCCGCCACCGCTGTGATGTCCACGTGTTGTCAGCTAAAATTGCATACAATCTCTCAGCACTTAGCCTTCAAGGCTTAATGTCTCCAACTGCTCTTGGCACATACTAGTCCATTCTTGCCTCGCTCTTCTTTTGATTTTAGCACATCATCTTCTAGAAAAAAGAATTCTTCTCTTCCTTCTCTTCCGCCACCGCTGTGATGTCCACGTGTTGTCAGCTCAGCAGAGCAGGACTTGCCCCTGGCAGCACACCGAGTACCCATATGCCACATCATCTACACATTTACTGACCACTGCTTTTAACATGGTTTTCATGGCATTAGGCTGGCTCTCCATTTCTCCAGGGCTGTGGCAAAGCTACTTGCAATGCCTTAAGGCTCTGGCAATAAGAACGGGCTAGAAATAAGTTGTACATAAAATATACACACATGCATATATCAAGTGCCTGTACGTAAATGCGTGTTGCCTGGGAAATGGACAGAAGGAGCCAGAGCTCTGCAGCCACATGCAGAATTTTACCGGCCTTCCTGAAACGTGGTGGGAGAGCGTGCATGGCTGGAGAGCTCTTTGTGTTGGGGTCAAACACCACGTGCCCCAGGAGAAGGCTTCTGTGTCATCAGGACCTGGCCACTGGTGTGGTTGTCTGGGGAGATGTGTGTGTGCGGGGCGGTTTAGCCATGGCAGAGACCTGAGCCCTCCCACCTGCTCCCGTGACCTCTTTCTTCAGTGCCTTGTTCTCCTTGATAGTGTCCTGTGTCCCAGCATTGTCAGAGGATGAGGGCCTTGGCTAAACGCTCAGCTGCTTGGCTTTCCTGGGCTGACTGACGCGACAGAGAGGGGATACGTTTAGCTGCAAGTTTTGCTGGAGCAGTAAAAAGAATCAGGAGGAGAGAAGGGTGTTGAAGGCCTTGGGGAGCGCAGCTGTCTTTGTGTCACGGGCATCTCTAAAGGCCTGGTCCTGGTTAGACCCTGACACCAAGTTTGATGCTGTCTCTTCTCTTTTACATAGCAAAGTCGCTGCAAGTCGCTGTGTGTAGCTCTCAGTGGTAGGGCCGCGAGCCAAGCCTCGTGCTGCAAAACAGAGCATGGTGTGGGGGATGGCTGTGGCTCTGAGCAGTGCAGTGCAGGCGCACTGGCTGTAGGGAGGTCTTGGTCTTCTGCAAGAGGCAGGAGCTGTGTTTGCCAAGTGACTAGCTTCCCTGGAGAGGCACTTGGAAGTAGCAAGGGGGTTTGAGCCCCCAGCCCAGGGCAGGTTAGGGAGAAGATGGCCCAGGTCGCACCCTTACCGCTGTCAAAAATCACAGCAAGCTGTGCTGCAGCTGCTGCCCTCTTCTTGCATGTCCAGGTTCCACTCAGAGCCCTTGGGTGAGTCCCCTTTTGCTTTGACAGGGCGCCAGGAGGATTTGCAGAGTGCGTGGCCTGGCTTTGTGCCCAGGGAAAGGCATTTCTCTCCTGTTGCCATGAGGGTACTTCCAGAGGAGGCTGAGGAAGGGGCTGTGCCACACACACAGGGGAGACCGTGTGGGGAGAGAGCTGGTGGTGTGTCTGTCTGTGCCCACCAGAGACAAAGCAGTAGATAACCTGGCGTGGAGTTCTCTGCTTGTGTTTGAAGGGAAATCGCATCCCAGGACGCCTCGCTGGCCCATGTCATAAAGGAGGTACGCAGGAGCTAGGGGCTCCCCAGTGTTTCCCCGTCCACCTCATGCCAGGGGCTCCTTTGCTGTCTCTGCATGCCCCAAAGCTGGCTGCACTTCCATGGTCAAAAGTGCTGACCACAGGAACACACAGCTCTTAGGAGGAGGAGGACATGGTTATGTTGGCGGTGAGGTGCTGTTCATGCTTAGCTCTGCTGGGAAGGAGCCTCCAGCTGCCCCTTGCGGGCACCTGTGGGGTGGCTCCTCCTCGGGCGGTCAGAGCAAGCAGAGAGCTTCCTGCCTTCTCGCTGGGACCTCCATCTACAGCCTCAGCAGATGCTTTAGAAATCAGCTTCTGCCCGTTAGAAGGTAGACTGAGCTTAGGCCTGCCCATCGCCCTTGCTGCTGTCAGCCCTAGTGCTCTCTTTCTGGAGCCCGTTGAACTGGGGCCTGGTGAGGAGCAGCTGCAGGCTTTCAGCCAGCTGCGGTGAGCCTTGGAGAGTCTAAAATCATCGGAGCACAGCTTGCGCTGGGCAGCAATGGGAGCAAACCATTTCCCAAAGCGCTGCAATGCTAAATTCAGCGAGGCCGAGCGGGTCACGGGCTGCACTGCTGCAGAGGGTGGGTTAGGGGAGAGCTACCTCTCATGGTGATAGGGAAGGCTGAGGGCGTGTTTGGGCCGTGCAGAGAGGTCTCTTAGGTTGCGTGATAAAAAGCTCATCTGCACACCCACAGAGGAGCATGGAGAGGCAATGGCAGGTGAGGGAGCCCAAATAAATCCCCTGCCCCGGCACAGTGGTACACAGAAACCCAAAGTACAGACTTGGAGGAAGGGGCTTTTCTAGGCTCCTGCAAGGGCTGTGCCGGGGAGCTGCAGGCCCAGTGCCCAGGGCTGACATGACTCAAGATGGATCAACAAAAAACCCAATAAAATAAATCTAACGGATATACATTATCCACAGTCCTACAGAGACACCTACGTCTACTCAGTAGCACCAAGAATCTGATCTGGGTGTAATTATAACATTCTGGAGCTGCCACCGCTCCATGCTCCCAGGTTGGCCTCATCCCCAAAATCCCTTTCCACGTCTTCAGACTGGCCCCAGAACAAGGTCTGAGTTTTGAAATGCCGCCCAAGCCCCCTCTGCAATGGGACTGGGACCCCAGGCTCTGCCCTAAGCCTTTCCACCTGTGCCCAGCTCATGTTATTTCTGCAGTGAGGTCTATGGTGGGTTCCCACTGCAAGAGCAGGCGTCCCACACTGAGGAAGCCCCTGGCCTGAGGCAGCAGCTTAGAAGAGGATGCGGCAGGGGAGGTGGCTTTGTATACAAGCCCTGTGGCCACAGGGATGTAATATTAGCATGTGATCATGCATTTCCCTCCAAAGCTAGACAAGAACATTTTGTCCATTGGCCACCTGTTCCCATAGCTGGGTTACCCAAAGAGCAGCTCGTGTTCTGGAGACATGATCATGCGTTTCCCTCCAAAGCTAGACAACATTTTGTCCATTGGCCACCTGTTCCCATAGCTGGGTTACCCAAAGAGCAGCTCGTGTTCTGGAGACAGAAACTGTTGGAGCTCTTCTACATGACAGGCCCTCTGTCTGCTCAGGGCACAAGGCAGTTGCTGCTTTAACAGCCAGGACATCCTTCTCAGCCCATTCTCGGGCTAATTAAGAGGCTTTTCTTTGTGGGATGGAACTGGCTGGTAATTAGAGACATCCGCCTCTGTTCCTGCTAGATGTGAGAAATGAGGCATAGCCCAGGTGTGCAGGGCCCTCTCTGCCTCTTTTGTATATGCACAAACAGTTGCTGCGTAGCTGCCCCGTTCTGCAAACTGCCGTTAGAAACTTGAGGTCCCGCTCTTGCCTGTTTCCCAGTGGCCAGAGCAGCATGCCCTGTATGTGGTTGTTGTGAGTGTCCAGCCCCTTGAGACTATTCATCTCCCAAAAATACTCATCTGTCCAAGTAAGACTCAAATTAAATACAGTAGGATGGCTCTGCTTGTCTTTCTCCTTCCTCTGCTCTCCTCCTGGTGGGAGGAAGGGACATTAGCAGGTTGGTGAGGGGCATCTGATGTACGATTTAGTCTGTTGCAGAAAATTAGTCTTTCATCAGGTCTCCGTCTTGCCAAAGGCCCTGAAGGAGTAATACCTGGCTTTCTCTGGTCTTTTTCTCTGGCACTCTTGCTTAGTATCAAGAGGAGACAATGGACAACGTGAGAATACATTTGTGGATTCACGGGGGCCTTCGTATGCTGCTTGTCCAGCCCTCGGGCTCCTGGGTTCCCCTTGTGTGAGCTTTGTCCAGGATGGGCTTTTCAGAGGACATTTAGGTAGAGAGCTCTCGCCAAGGTGCTTCACACTCCTCCCTCATCTGGGAACTGCCTGCAAGAAAACTTGGCCTGTCCGGGCGGGCCTTGAGACAAGCAAGTCTGGGGAACTCATCAGACATTCCCAGCTCACTGGTGATACTGCAGCATCCCAACCAGTGTCTGATTTGCTTTGGTGTAGAGGCAGCAGCAGTTATGTTGCTGCTGCTGATGGAGGCTGGTGTCTCAACAAATGATTAAGGGAAAGGCAAATCAACGTTCCCAGAGGTTCCCTTCATGCTTTTGGCTCCACAGAGCCATCCTCTGGGGATCCTGCTCTCTGCGTGCTGCTCCATCCCTTCACTATCCAAAGGCATTTGCAGTCTTCCGTGTGTTTTTGGAAAAGACCTGGGAAAATTATTTGTGGGAACTCCTTGCCTTATAGTGAAAAATAATGTTCAGTCTCAACTCGGAGAGGATGATGAACTGATTAGTATACAAGCATCTTTCTGTGGAGAAAACAACTACGTACTGGAGAGATGTGAGAGTCAGTGTATCACTGTAATGGGAACGTATTGAGCTTTATAAGTAATGTAATTACTTCTTTTAACTGCCTTCTTTCTTAGAATACAAATAGTGTGTTTCCAAGGTGGTTTAGAATAGCAATTGTAGCCGTCAGCAGACACTCCTTAGCAGAAGAAATTCATTAATTGTAATAGCAGGAAAACTGAACTAAACATTGTTTAGCCATTTCAGAATGTAAGTGTGGTAAGGCCTCTCGGTTGGGCTGTCCCCGTGGTGGCACTGTGCCGAAGTCTGGAAGCTCACCACACAGTTGTGGTAGCACACAGGAGAAGCGTCCGTGGGTTTCTGATGCTTTTTGGCGTCAGTGTGTCTGAGTGTTAACATGAGGAGTGGGACTGGTGAAATCCAAACTGCCCTTTTCTGAAGGAATGCTTTGGGTGGTTTCACGGTGATTTCTAACAACTCCTTGTTGGGGAATATCCGCAGCTCTTCCCGAGCAAGCAGGGTGATGCTGAACAGCAGCAGCCCCGAGCAGTGGCACAAAAGGGAAGGAAAATGTCTCTTGCTGTGCACCATGAGTTCAATCCTTAGCTCAAGCCAGCAAAACCTGTGGTTTTGGTCAGTCTGAAAATGATGTTAAAATACACTTCACTCCTCTTCCGGATCTCCTGCATGTCAGGAGAGGTAGCTATATCAATCCACTGACGCCTGCTGTTTGTCAGCCAGCCAGAGCAAGTGGTGCTGTAGTTCACTTACCTTGGATGCTCTCCACCATGTGGCTCAGGCAGACAGATGACTCGTTGCTGAAGAGCTGTCTGTAGCCAACCTGATGGTCATTGCTCATGTCCTTTTTTTTTTTGTTTTCCTGGGAGGGTGAAGCAAAGTGGGGCCTTAGCTCAACTTTTCCACTTGTTCTAGTTTGACCTTGAGGCCAGTGCTTGGGGCACTGCAAACTGTGGCTGATCCTACCATTGACTTTCTCCCCAGGTCATCATCGAACGCTATAAAGGGGAGAAACAGCTGCCAGTGCTGGACAAGACCAAGTTCCTCGTCCCAGACCATGTCAACATGAGTGAATTGGTCAAAATAATCCGGTGAGTGGGGTGGCCCCGGCTGGCGTGCTGTGAGCCTGTCCTCACCCACAGGCCCTGCATACAGGGTGGTGGGGTGAGGATGAGGCAGAGGCAGCTGATGAGGGTGGTGATGGGGACATGACAACCACAGCATCCTTGTGTTGTGGTACAGTGCTTGGCGGGCTGAGGGGAGGCAGGTTCCTAGCAACAGGTGAAGGACCGTGACCTCTCCCTCATAGGGACGCCCCATGAGCTGATGAGGGGGACTCCAATCCCCTTTTTTTATCCTCCAACTCAGATAGAAGAGGCCCCTCTGCTTTGCCCGTGCCGGCAGCGCTTGGAGAAAGGGGCTTTGCAGAGTCCCGACTCCGGAGGCCTTGGAGCCCCGAGCAGCTCCGCTGGGCTCACAGGCACCATGTCCTGAGCCTGTGGGAGGGCCTGGCCCCATGTGAACAGCATTGCTGGGGGGAGGTGGACGTGCCGTCATGGTGCCTGCCCCAGGTGGGTTGACTCAGGCCCTCCTGCCCTTGCCCCCGCAGGCGTCGCTTGCAGCTGAATCCCACCCAGGCTTTCTTCCTGCTGGTGAACCAGCACAGCATGGTGAGTGTGTCCACCCCCATCTCAGAGATCTACGAGCAGGAGAAGGACGAGGATGGCTTCCTCTACATGGTCTATGCTTCCCAGGAGACCTTTGGCTACTGAGGCCTGCCGGGAGGTGGCGTGTCGAGACAGATGAACTGTGGCGCACAGGCCCCCGGCCTTGGAAGACAACACAACCAGAGGGGACTGTGCTGACTCCCTTTCTCTCCCTCCCTCCCCTTCCCATCACCCTGTCACCAAAGAGGCTCGTGGCGTGTGTTGGACTTGCACAGCCCTTCACCTCTGTGTCGATGGGTCCCGCTCCCTCCACGCACGCACACCCATGTGCGCACATACGTACAGACACCCACGCGCACCCGTGGGGCCTCGGCTTCCCATCCCCTGCGTGTAACCTTCGGCTGCTCTCACCGTGCTGTGTATGTGTGTGCGCGCGTCCTTGTAGCCTGCTGCCAGAACGGTTCGGCCGGTGACGGAGAGAGGACAGGACACTGTCGCCTTCGCTTTCAGCACAGGGAGAGCCGCCTCTCCTCCAAGACACTAGTAAAGGGCAGGAGGTCTGCAGAAGCAGCAAACAGATGTTACCATTGCTCCTGAGTTTTAATTGATTTTAATTACACCCATATCAGATTCTTGGTGCTACTGAGTAGATGTAGACGTCTCTGTAGGACTGTGGATAATGTATATCCTTTAGGTTTATTTTATTGGGTTTTTTCTTTGGGTTTGTTTTGGGTTTTGGTTTGTTTGTTTGTTTTAAGGGATAGGTTGGAATGGGGAGAGGGGGTGATCTTTCCTGTATTCTGTAGGTAAATAAATCGGGCTTCATTGCACTTTAAAGCATAGTAGATGTCAGAATGGAATTTACTTCTAATTTATACGTGTTGGCCATATATAGTGCTGCTCCTCTGTTGACAGTTGTACCTAGATTGTCTTTATTCCTTTTTTTTTAAATAAAATTGATTTCCCTTCTCTCTGTCTCCCCATTGCATGCCATTTTTCAGTCTCAGTGTGGCAAAGAATTTGCTCAAGGAATGTACTGATTTATATTTGCTATGTTCCCATTCCTGTTTCTCATGTATTATACCGAAAAAATGTATATGATAAAATCTCACCCAGTTTAATCTAGACAAAGGTAAATATATATAAATATATATGTATATATAAAAAATAAACATAAATTCAAGTTGTGTCTTGTAGGAATGTTCTGTTCCTATCTCATTTGTCTGTGTTAATGTCCCTGGTGTCAAGAAAGAGCGATGCGTGTTCCCCGTGTTCGCTGGCGCATTGTTTGCCTGCCCAGGCTTTGGAGCTGGTTAGTCCAAGCTACGGCAAAACCGGCTGGCTGGGGTTGAGGGGCTGAGGCAAAAGGTGGAAGCTCGGTTTAGAGGACAGAGCACTGGTTAGCCAGGTGGGAAGCATGGGAAGCCCTGCCCTACCTGTTACATAGTGTTAGGTAAGTCTCTTACCCTGTGACCAAGTTTCCTCATCTGGGGAGGAAAAAAAAAAAAAGAAAATAGAGGTGGGGGGCATTTGCAAAGTCTCTGCTTTTGAAGGAAGCTTTGAGCAGTGCAGATAATCTCCCTGAGCACTCGGTCAAAACTGTTTTCCAACCAAAGGCAGGGGCTGGTGGCCGTTTAGCATTTCAGGGTGTTTTCCTGCCCCTTGGCTCGCTCTAATTCCTTTGCCCAGCAGAGAGGGGTTTAGATACTGTTTCCCTGAGTTACAGCTGACTGTCTTGTTTATGTCCCACGCCTGCAGGAAATCTCCTGTCCAGGGAAGGAGCTGGTGTAAGGGACAGACCCAGCGGAGTGCACGCAGGTGGGCAAGCGCTGAAGAAAGATGGTAGGAAGCCAGCTGGAAGCAACAGCAGCCAGCAGAGTGTGGGTGAGAACAGTTGCCCCACTGGTCCTGGCAGCGGGAGCAGCAATGGGGCTTGCCCTGTGTTAAGCAGCAGCCTCATGGTATTGAAACTCTAGTCGCTGAGCAAAGGTCCTCTTGCATCCACTTCCCTGTGGGATGGGCTCCTGCAGGTGATGCGGCCCCACAGCAGCGTCAGCCCAGCTGAGGCATTTCCCTTTGGGAGTTGGGAAAGGAGTGGCAGATGTGCTTAAACACAGTGGGCTGGAGCCCTTGGTGGGGTATAGTAGTGGAGCTGAGGTGTCTCTCTCTCTCCACCATGAATGCAGTCACCTGGAGATGGGCTGATTCACCTCACCACGATGGGTCTCTGCTACATGTGCTTCAGTCAGCGAAAGATGCTTTCAAAAGGCAGAGCTATGGGAGAGGCAAAAGGGCACTGCCTGTGTCAACGTATTGCATAGAATCAGAATGCTTTGGGTTGGAAGGGACCTTTAAGGGTCATGTAGTCCAAGCCCCCTGCCATGAGTGGGAACATCTTCAACATGTTAGGGCGCAAGTCTTCTGAGGAACAGCTGAGGGAACTGGGGATGTTTAGCCTGGAGAAGAGGAGGCTGAGGGGAGACCTTATCTCTGTCTACAACTACCATAAAGGAGGTTGTAGCGACGTGGGTGTCAGTCTCTTTTCCCAAGTAACAAGTGATAGGATAAAGGAAAAGGCCTCAAGTTGTGCCAGGGGAGGGTTAGATGGGATATTCGGAAATATTTCTTCACCGAAAGGGTTATCAAGCTTTGGAACAGGCTGCCCAGGGAAGTGGTTGAGTGACCATCCCTCGAGGTACTTAGAAGATGTGTAGATGTGGCACTTACTCAGAGACATGGTTTAGTGTTGGACTTGGCAGTGTTAGGTTAATAGTTGGACTCGATGGTCTTAAAGGTCTTTTCCAACCCAGATTATTCGATTCAATTCTGTTCTGTTCTATTCCTGAGGTTGCTCAGAGCCCTGCCCAACCTGACCTGGGGTGTTTCCAGGGATGGGGCATCTACCACCTCTCTGGGCAACCTGGGCCAGCGCTTCACCAGCCTCATTGTCGAAAATGTCTTCCTTAGATCTAGTCAAAATCGACCCTCTTTTAGGGTTACCCCTTGTGCTATCGCTACAGGCCCTGGTAAAAAGTCCGTCCCCCATCTTTCTTCTAAGCCCCCTTTCAGCCCTGGCAGCTGCAATAAAGTCTCCCCGGAGCCTTCTCTGCTCCAGGCTGAACCTCCCCAGCTCTCCCAGCCTGTCCTCCCAGCAGAGCTGTTCCAGCCCTTGGAGCATGTTTGTGGCCTCCTCCGGCCCCGCTCCAACAGGTCCATGTCTCTCCTGTGCCAAGGGCTCCAGAGCTGGATGCAGCACTGCCGGGGGGTCTCACCCCTGTGGGGGTCTCACCCCAGTGGTGTGGAGGGGCAGAATGCCCTCCCTCGCCCTGCTGGACACACGGCTTTGGGTGCAGCCCAGGACAGAGTTGGCCGCCTGGCCTGTGAGCACCCATTGCTGGCTCATGTCCAGCTTTTCATCCACCAGTACCCCCAAGTCTTTCTCGGCAGGGCTGCACTTGAGTATATTAAAAGCGGAGGAAATTACATCAGGTTACTGCTAGAGCAGCTCCCCTTCAGAATAGCCCAGAGTTGCTGCTAAATCACTTTATTTTCTCTCCCTTTTGCCTCCTAGGTGATATTGGCTTCAAGGTTCAACCACTTCCAGAATCTCTCCTCTCACTGATTTTTAGGCAGTTCTTTGCTGTTCTCCTTTCCTCCACTCTGCCCTTAGTTCCCCGTGATTTGCAAACGATTGGAGTAACAGTTGGAGCTCATCCCCAGAGCCCCAGGAGCACATGCCGGCCCTGCTCATTCGTACACAGTTCTGTTTATCCTATAGATGCAGCTGGAGTCCGTGCTGGCCTGGCTTGTAATACCTACGGGTTCTCAAAGGTCTCCGAATGGAAATGCTGCTCTCTTGCCCCTCCCTCCCCATGTGGGAGATGAAAGTGGACCTTTGCCTTGTCCTCCCTTTCTGCTACCCTTCAGCTAGAGAAGCTCGGGAAGTGCTGGGTGTTTTGATGCAAGCAACTGCCGGTGCACGAGGGCCTGCCTGGGCTTTTCGTAGCCTGGTGCCGCTAGGCGTTGCTTGACTCGAGAAGTTAAACTTGCCAGACTGGCTTAACGGACTGACCAGAACGGACCCAACCAGCTAACCTGACCCAGAGCTGAGCCACCGAGCCAAGCAGATTTTGCGGCACAGCTGTACGCAGGTGCTGGCTGATGCCAAATGATGGAACCCCCAGGGCAGGAGGAAGCAGATGTTGCTCTGGGGGCAATATGACCCAGATGAGCCTGGGACAAGGATACGTAGGACAGGGCACCCAGCAAGCAAAGATACAAATGCAATGCCGATCATTTTCCTCATGATACAGAACGGGGTGAAGATCTGAAGATGAGCATTAAAGTTTTAGGGGGCACTTTCAGTCCACTTTTATGCCATCTACCTTACCACGTATAAATGTGTCCCAGTGCCAGTCTGCTAACCTTATTGATGCTGTGCTGCTGTGCAACAGACTTGGGTGAATCTTTGCACTACACCGAGATTGGGGCACTGCTTTAAGATAAATCTCAGTGCTGCAAGCTTCTGAACGTTACATCTGACACATCAGCAGCCAGGCCCATGACACTGTAAGAGATCACCTGGTGATTGCTAACAACACAGACTGCAACTGGTGTTAGTGTGGTCCCATCTTCCTGATAACCACCTCGGAGACTCCATGCTAGGCTGCTATCAGGGCCACCAAAGCCTTCTTGTCTCCAGCCTACGCAAGCCAAACTCCTCCAGCCCCATC